GTGCGGGTGCGTGTATATTCGGCGGCTTTTGTGGCAGCAAATTCAAATGGTGACCAGCAAGTGTTCACCTTGCAGTTGTGGATGCATGCAGGAATTCTTGGTGGCGAACAAAAGTTAGTTGGCGGCGGTGGTAGTTGATTTCTAGTACAACATCTAGATCCGCCCCCCTCAACGCGGTTCATAGGCGGCCGCAAGTCTCAAGACCGGCGGCGACAGGTCTGAGCAGCGGCGTCGGCGGGTCTAAGCATCGGCGGCGGTGGGTTTGAGCAGTGGCCGCGGCAGATTTGAGCAGCAATGGCGGAGGCGGCGGCTCTGAGCAGCGGTGGAGGCGGCTTCAATTTGGGGTTCTCCTTTCTTTCTCCTTTTTTGTCAAAAAAAATCAAAAACCCTCCCTTCTCTCACTCTTCTTTTTTTGTGGCTGAAATTTGGGTCACTCTTCTCTCGGAGCATTTTTTTTTGTCACAAAAAAAAATGAACATGGCTATTTGTTCAGGTCCCACGGTCGGCGCCAAAATGATGGTGTAAATTATCGACCGGTATATCGTTTTTAGCCCGACAAAAACGATAAAATAGTCTAAAAATACACCAAAATATAAACACGGGGATTTTTACGTTGAAACCCAAATCGAGAGAAAATCACGGGCCTTTTTTGGCGGTACCTTGCCAACGGGGGATTTTTATTGATATCGGGGGTGTGTACACGGTACAAGAATCGGGCTCGGAAGCCATTAATGGAAGCTTAAAAGCTTATTGAAGAACAAAAACTATAAAATGCTAGAGAGAGAAAGTATAGTGGGCAGGGGAGAAAGTGATTTGGCCTCCCCTTCACATTGGGGGCACCCCTCCTTTTATAGGAGGGGGAGCATCTTCGGAGGAATATTCTCTTATTCCTCTATTTTATTAAACAGGTCCGGTTTGACTGTTCTTCGTAAAATAATTAGGAAATGTGGACCGTGCCACGTATTATTTCCCATCAAGTACTAATCCCAACGTTAGCACTAAATTGCAACATTGACAGTAGCAAATGGGGGCGATAGAGGAGGCATCCACAACAAATGGGAATGAGATCAGAGCAGTAGATTGCGGTGGCGATGACGGTGAATTTGCAGATTGTGACGGTGCTAGTGGCAGCAAGCCAGCAACAATGTAGATGCATGGTGACCGCATTTAATATTGATGGCAGCAGGAGATTGTGGCGAAGGAGTGGCGGCGACGACAGTAGCGGCGATGGTGGCAGGGGTGGCGACATTTACATGTGAGACAGAGGCTGTAGCTAATTTAGGTTTTTTTAATTTATAAAATGTATTTAATTTCATATTTTTAATATGAATATAACTTCTATTTTTGTACATGATCAATATTTTACTTGTATTTCGCTTCTTAACTTTAAGCCATGAGATTAATTAAAAGTTAATTACTCTTATTTAGGGGAGTTTATGTTTCAACTCTTATTTTAAGGATATGTCATATGTTCTACTACTACTTTGGTCCTTCTCCCATAACTTTTAGGTCGCTTCTTTTTTTAATACTTTGTACGGAATATGAAAAAAAGAGATCTAATTTTCTTTTTAATAAGGTCCTTATTTCATTTATTTTTATATCATGGAAAAATTTAAATTTTCAAAACTATTTTCTGAAAGAAACTTTAAAAATAATATTCATGAAAAAGGAAACATAGTGAAATAAGAGAAGAAAAAGGAAACAAAGAAACTAAAGTCAGGGCCCTAAAAGTTATTATCATAAAACATTAGTGGCAAAGTAAGAAAAAACACATTTATTAACGCTTGTGGATGAAGTATTGGATGCAATGTCTCCTCCCAGTCATTACAACAAAATGTAACTCCTTTGTTGTCTTTTTGATAACTCATTACAACAAATTCCTCGGTTGAATCTAATTTAAAGTTACTAGTTTCACAAAGATTTAGACCCAAAAGAGTATTCCCTCTGTCTAAATTTAAATTATTTGTTTCAGTTTACGATGCTTGATTAAATTTATTTTCAAATCATTTTATATAAAAATAGTGTAGAATTAAAAAATAAAAATTACATATTTAAAAATTAGATAAAAAAATCTACAAAATTAGTTGTGGCACAACTATATTTTTTTATTAAATGACTAACCAAAATTAAAAAAGAAAATGAATAGTATTTGATCATGTGAATACTAATCATGCAATTTGACTTTAGATCGGGAGAGTATTAAAAGAGTATTGCAAAGTTGGAAGGAAAAAAGTCCATTTTATAAGAAAATAGATTTTACATCATTGTCATAGAGAAATTTGAATATGACGTTGAAGGGAAAAAAGTTCACCATGAAAAATCAAACCAAACAGTGCTAACCGATGTTGAAGGTGAGATCATAGTTTTCAGAACTGAACCGGTGATCGAACCAGTCAAGGTATTGGTTCACTAGTTTACTGATCGAATCAGTGGTTCAAAAATATATACATACATACATACATACACACACACAGTAACGCCCTCAAACCGGCCTAGTTTTTAAATAAATAAATATTATTTATTTATTGATACTCATTGTTTTAAATACTAAATGTTGAGATTTTGATCTCATTAGATGAACTTCAAAATTTAATGTGTTTTTAAATATAAAAAGATGTTTTAATAACGGACCTCTCAACATTAATTAAATAAATTAATTAATGACTGGGGTAGACTCGGAAGTTTGAAAATAAAGTTCTTAGAAAAATTATTTGAACATGTCATTAAATTCGTTTTGACTGTCTGATTCCGGAAACACAAACGGATCTCAATTCGGACCTGTTTGGGGAAAAACCGCGTACCGTTCAAGTCAGATTTTTACATAACGGAGTAAATAAATATTTGTAACTCCCCATTTAACTCCCCTCATTTCCCACGCCACTACACACCCATTCACTTGCTACATTAATTACTCCATCATTGCCCATTAATCTCTTTTTTAATATAAGCCCCTTCACCCTCCATTTCTACACCACTCTTGTAACCCCCAAGTTTACACACACTCTCCCAACTCTCTCTCCCTCCATTGCATTCGGCCAGGCCATAGCAGCTCCAAGGGGTTTTCCAGCGAGAAGACGGGGAGGTTGAAGGGGAGAAGTTCACACGAGAAGCCGTACGTTGACCGTTCGTCCGTTCGTTAGACGTCATTCATTCATCTCGTTCCATCGTTTCGCTAACCCCTTCAACTAGAGGTGAGTAGTTGTCCCCTCTAATTCTAGAACATCAAGTTATAATCTATGTCGTTATATTCATAGGAATATCGTACGTAACCTACGTAGAATCTACGCATGTTCGTAGGATAGCCATCAAAACATTCACTACGTAAAAATCGTATATATTGGCCTAGGAATCACTAGGAATATATTCATCAATGTTTACTTTATTGTTCTAAAAAGAATCAAGGTGTTAAGTTTGCAAAATGGATCAAAACGAAGCCAAGGACAGAAGACTGTCATCGGGACGGTCGACCGTCGCTTCAGACGGTGGACCGTACCCTCAGCCATTCCGACGGTCACCACCGTGACGGTCGACCGCCGGCCACGACGGAAGACCACGGTGGACTGTCCGTGACCCAGACCCCAGACCATAGCCCACGGTCGACCGTTCCGCGAGCAGAATTCCAGACAATTTGTAGAACGAGCCCCGTTGACCATATTGACACATAATCTAGTTGTATGTTTGCATGAAATGTTAATTCTCATTATATATGTTATTTAATTGATATATTCTTGGCGTTGACCAAAGGTAAATATATCAAGTATTCATCATGTTCATTCTAGACGCATGTCCTAGATTTTTCATCATGTGCATACCGCTGTAGGGAGGTCAGGCTTTCGTGCGCCTACTATAGTGGGCCCGTCCAGGAACATTTGGGATCCAACGGGTTTTCATCAGGTGGGCTTTGTGTACGTACATGGTAGTCAGGTTACGGCTACCACCCAGTTTTGCTAGTTCACTTGCGACATTTTCGTCGAGTCCGGCTCATTACCGGAGTGCAGAGGTGATCCTGTCAAGTGAGACTAAGCCAGGGGTGTCCCTGATAGTTAAAGTCATGCATCAAGTCATACCGTCATCATGTATGTTCCACGTCACATCAGCATTCAATGTGGTTGTTATTCATTTTGTTATGTGTAATAATATCCCATCAAGTGCAAATTAATTAATCAGTTACTCCCTCCGTCCCAATTTAAATCGTCTGTTTTAATTTTTGGGCATATTTAAGGAAAATAAAAAAAAGAGTTGATTTTTCGAAATTGTCATTACTTTTTAAAAGGGGTGATGATGAATGAGAAGATAAGGTAAAGAAGATTGACTTATTTTAGGGGTAGTTTAGGTATTTTATTTTTACGAAAACAACTAACATGCAACTTATTTTGGTACAGAGAAAAAAGGAAAACAAGCAATTTAAAATGGGACGGAGGGAGTAGTAAACATGTGGTTTTCTGTACGTTAAGTACAGGTATTAATATGTGTATAACCATATGGGATATCACTTCATGTTCTTTTGTTAGATTTACTCAGCTTTTGCTGAGCGTGTAGTTGTTTTTGCTACACGGAGGTAGACATGACGGTGCGGGTGCTAACCCTGGAGGACAGTGATGGTGGGAAGATGGGCGGCGCACAGACGAGTTTTAATAATTATAATCATTTGAATTAATTAATCATTTGGGCATGAACCCCACCATTTGTCGTTTTACTTATTTATTTACTTCCGCTTTTACTCTGCATTTATATCACACACGTTTTGGGGTTAATTCCCTAGCATTTATTTCACCAATTAAACTCAACCGTTTTCACAATAAATAGACATTAATGTTCTTTTCTCTACGGACGGTTCTTGAACCGCCCATGTAACTCAACCGGTCCGTTGGGTCGCGGGTGAACCGGGTCCACGAAAGGTGGGTGTTACACACACACACACACACATATATATATATATGTATGTATATATATATATATATATATATATATATATATATATATATATATATATATAGGGGCTGGTTCCCGTGAGAATGCACCTTGTGGAGAGAAATGAGAATAAAATCTAGCCGTCGGATCTGATGCATCGTGCGGCTCAGATTGCATCCTGCGCTCAGATTTTGAGATAGTGCATTTTCGAAGGTTTATGGTGCATTTCGACGTGATGCATTTTCGCACAATTTTGGTGCATCTAATTTTGATGAAATCTTGACCCTTAGATCTCACAATCTAAAGCACCAGATTCATTCTCATTTCTCTCCTAAGATTGTATTCTCACCAGAACCAAAATATATATATATATATGTGTGTGTGTGTGTGTGTGTGTGTGTGTATATATATATATATATATATATAAAATTATAAAAGTCATATATGAGTAAACAAAATAATATTATCTCTATTTAGAAATAAATAATTATGATATTTGACTAAAGTTATCATCAATTTAATTTAATTCAGTTGTGGCATAAAATTAAAAAATAAAAATTATGTTTTTTAAAGTTTTACTCCCTCCGTCCCCCATAGATCTTCCCATTAGCCCTTTTTATTTGTCCTACATAGATCTTCTCATTACCTTTTTTAACATTTAAAATACCACAACTACCCCCACTTACTTTATTTATTACACCTTTTCCACCTTATTTAATACACCCCACCCATTTTCATTAAGGGTATTTTGGTAAACTTTTACCTTTTTTCAACTCTCCTTAAAAACCACCAAAAGTCAAAAAGAGAAGATCTTAGAGGGACGGAGGAAGTATTAAATAAGAGTTGATATGATTTTTCAAGTAATTTATCCAATATTTTAAATATATATAAATAAAATATTCGTGTGATATGCATTTTCTATTAATATATATTATATCAATGGTTTATATTTTGAATCTTAGCTCAAACCCCCAATATAATACTACCTCCGTCCCGCTATATTTGTCCACTTTTGACTTTTGGAACTGTTCATCTAAGCACTTTGACTCATCAAATTCTCTCAATGTGTAAGCCTAAATATAGTCATGTGTGATCTTAATTGATTTGTCTTAACATATAGATTATTAATATATAATTTCTATAATTTTTTAAATATGCAAATTACAAGATAAAATGGATTAAATAAGAGTATTGGATGGTGTACAAAAATGAAAGTGGACAAATATAGTGGGACGAAGGGAGTATATATTTTTCAAAGTTATACTCAGGTATGAAAAATAATTTTATGCTTAAAGAATATTTGATATAAATAATCAAATGTTCAAAGTTATAACAACACTCATCATAGCACAATGGGTAACAGGGTGGCGGAAGCTCTAGAATGTCAAGGGTTCGAATCCCTACACCCAAAGTTTTGCAATCACGCTTTAAAACTCAACCTATCAGAATTAATTAATTAAAAATAATTAATTAATTATTGAGACAGAACCAAGGTTAATTAGAAATAATTGTTAATAAATTATAAAAGTTATATCATTGTGTAGGGCTCGACGAGACGAATGCAGTGGTACAAACGAATTTGAATTTGGAGTATGTTGGCCCAGAAAGTGTATTTTTTCTGAGGTACGTTATTTATCTATGCACCACGAATCCCTAGGGTATATTAATATATATTACCCCAAACGTGTGTGCAAACATTTACGCTGCATATCTCACGTCTCCCTCTCGGTTCTCTCTTTCTCTTTACAAACAACAACGGGAAAGAGCAGAAGAAGACGATGAAGAAGAAGAAGAAGAAAGATAAGGCCATCGTCGCCACCATTGCTATGCATAACCTTTATCATTTGTAGTTAACATCTCGTCATTTCGAGGTGAGTACGTGGAACCCTAACTTTAGAGTAGTCATCTAGGTTTGAAATCTACGCTCGTAATCGTTATGCTGATTGAATTGCATGAAAACTTGTATGAATCGTATGTTCACTACTACAAAAAAGACTTTTTAAATCGGTTATTTTGACTCTTTTAAATCGGTTTTGAACCGATGCAAAAGCCAGCGATACAAATACTCAGATTACTTTTTGCATCGGTTGTTAAAACTGATGCAAAAGCCCTCCCCAGAAATGGCGCCAATTCTGGGAAGAGGCTTTTTGAATCGGTTATTACAAGATAACCGATGCAAAAGCTCCTTCCCAAAAATGGCGCCATTTTGAGGAATAAGTATTTGCATCAGTTATTTGGTAATAACCGATTCAAAAGATTAGGTATTTGAATTGGTTATTACTAGATAACCGATTCAAAAAATAAATTTTTTCAATATGAACATTTTGTTTGCTCCGGATCTACTACATATCACTTGTTGCGAGAATTCTGTGCAAAATATACAGATTCAACAACAACAAGAATTCAAGTCATCAACACAACAGTAACTAACACAAAAACATTCACAAAACTCAAATGCCACAAAACAAATTAAACCAAAAAAGTAAACATTTGTATCCAACACTTGTATATCTTAAAAAATATATATACAAGAGTAAAACAACTATTCTTCTAAGTTTTAACAACTAACACAACTAAGAGTCAATCAACTACACTATACTAACATACAAACTTACACAAGTTCATCGAGAAAACCACCCGCCCAAAACTCTCTAACCTCTTCTAATTCGGCTTTAGTATAAGGCGTAGTAGACTGAAATACCTGCAATACGAAAACAACATACGACATAAAATTTATTAATCTATGAAAAAGAAAATGATGAGAAACACTTCATTACTTTCAAAAACACACTAAAACAAACTTACATCGGATAACGGTACAGAACATTGTGCACACATATTGACGATGAGCCAACAAAATCGCATGGTATAGTAACCACACTCAAAGTTCCCTGCTTGTTGGGGTACTCCGGGAACATCAACCCAATCCGGTCGAGCCTTAAGATGAGGCATGTGCCGTTCCCGAAGTAACCGCCAAGACCATTTATATATGTAAAAAACAAATTAATAAGAAATTAATATCTTAACAAATAAAAAATTTCATTAATAAGAAATAAATTTCTTAATACTTACTCGTTGACGAAAGTCTTCACCTTCATTTTCTTATGCCCTCCGGTCGCCTTGATTGAGTTTTGGAAATACACTTTGTTTTCAAACAAACGTATTACAACTAACACCCAATTATGCCTACAATTGAAAAAGCGTTAGTCACTAACTTAAAATAAAAAACCAAAATACATATTGGAAATGATTTAGAAAACATACGGTATCGATAGATACAACGACATAAGTATCCAAGGTCGCGATTGATAGGTCTCGAGTACTCTATACAGATACTGGCGATCTCCATAATCTACCACGTATGCCATGTTCTCTGGACATAACAACCCGACAGACGCGATGTCGTGCTCCATCATATGATCGTGCAACAATCTAGTAATTTCACATGTAAACAATAATTACAATTATAAGAAATAATTATAATTATAATAGTAATTTATTCATACGTAGTGCTTGACATACCTCAAGAAAACAATGATGATGGTCTGATCGACCTCCTCCCATTGCATGAACTCACGTATATTCTCCGGACGCATCCTTAGCTCCGTCTCCTCCGGATAGAGCATGGGCTCGGGATCGAGAATGACGTTGATGGTAGGCAAAGCAGATGTTGACACAACTCTCTGCACCTCGGCCCAAATGCGATGTATGAGCTCCGGTCAACAACATCCTGTACGGGAGAGCTAGGAGCAGTGGGACGTACGCCGAGAATGGGACGAGATTTGCTTGATGAGAAGTCTCCATGTCGAGCCGTCTACACCAAGGGCTACGAATATTTTCAAAAAAAAATGATACATGAAACACAGCATAAATGATGTTGAATAAAAAAGAACTAAATTTATTTACTTCTTACATCTCCAAGGCCCACCAACGACTTTGGCCATGCAACGAAGCTCCCCTCGCAATTAGGGATGGCAACGGGTCGGGTTCGGGTCGGATAGTACTATACCCGAACCCGACCCGACTTCTAAAACCGAAACCCGAACCCGACCCGAAACCCGACCTTTAAAGCCAAAAATCCGACCCGACCCGAACCCGACATTTCAACCCGAAACCCGAACCCGACCCGAACCCGACTTTTAACCAATAATCAATTCGACGTACCCCAATAATTTTGAAAAAATTAAATCTAATTTTTTTCTGTCTCTTTTTTTATGTCTCCTTTTTTATTAAGGGATTATAAAAATGATTATAAAAGGCATATTTGATATAATAGCACTTTGTCAAGAGATTATACGGAGTGCTCATTACATCCATAGATAGACTTTTTTGTAATAAAATATTCGGGTTTTAGTCGGGTCGGGTGCGGGTTCGGGTCGGGTCAGGCAAAATTATAATCCACACCCGACCCGACCCGATGTCGGGTTCGGGTAAAAAATTTCGGGTCGGGTTCGGATTAGTTTATTTTCGGTTTGGGTTTGGATATTTTAGTAGTTGGTCGGGTCGGTTAAGCTCGGGTTCGGGTTGAATTGCCATCCCTACTCGCAATCCACAGTCTCTATATGCTCAGTCGGACAAGGAATGGTATATTCACCCATTCCAGGAAGCACAAGGGTCACATAGACCTTAACCTGGTGGGAAAGGAGGGGAACACCGTGTACCATATCTCCCGGTGCACGTGGGAAAACCGATCCATGTGCCACTATGTAGTCCGCTGGATCAGAGATCCTCAAGTAACAAGCAGCAACCTACAAAACACAATTAGTAAACTAATGTCGGAAACAAGTAAATGTAAACTAAACTTGAAACCTTAATTACAAAATATATGTACCTCAGTGACACCGGCGATGTCAACAAAATCTGTAGACGCCTTGCTACTACGCTGCCCATAATGAGGTGCTACAGAAGGTGTGTGCTGCGACATGGATGCAAAGTCTGGAGCACCCTTGGAAAAAAATAGTCCATACTGCTGCAGAAGGGAAGGAAGACGCTGCAAAAGATCCTCCTCAGTCATATAGTTACATTTGAATCGGTTATTCCTGATAATCGATGCAAATACTCTTTTCCATCGGTTATCAAGAATAACTGATGCAAATGTGTAGCGGTATGCGGAATTTTTTTCCCTTTTAAATCATTTATTTTGCTAACCAATCCAAATGTAGGATTTATTTGGTCCTTTTTGTAGTAGTGGTTGATGGATTTGGTTTCGTTCATGGGACCAAGAGCGAGAAGAAATTTTAGGCATTGAATGGTTATTTGTTATATTCGACATGATATAGGAATACTATATTGTATATGTGGTTGTGAATTTGTTTGGGACTATTAAATAACGTTGAATGCCGGAAGGTCATGCTACACCAGGTTGAAGTTCAGTAGGCCGATACTGCTAGTCCATACCATGCTCTCGTCCTAGGCAAATATTTACGGTTGGTCGATGCTTCCTGTTGGTACCTGTTGGAGTGTCAACCCATATCGGAAGTTCAAGTGCAAAATAATCAATATATAAGCTTTTGAGTTGAACTAATTAATAGATTGGATTCAATCTTTTAATGTGGTTCAACCCAAGTGTCTTATTACCCAGTTGTCCATACCCAATCCTAACACTTCAAAATTTCGCTAAGTTTGCGACGGAAACTTTCTATCGCAAACACTCCAATTCGGTCGCTGATTAACAAATTGCGACGGTCTTGCGACAAACTACATCCGTCACAAATAAATTGTCGCATTTTCGAACTTTGCGACGGAATAATGGTCCTGTCACAGTTTTGCGACGGCATCCGCGATGGAAATACCAGATCTATTATTTGCAACGAAATATTAAATCCGTCGCAAATTGCGACAGAATCTGCGACAAACGTTTCCGCGTTCCGGATTTATTCCGTCGCAGATGCACCAGATATCAAAACCAAAATCTGCCTCAATTCCTTGTGACCAACAACACAATAACAATGAAACAATACATCATATAAACAACAGCAGTGAAATAACACAGAATTTATCAAATTCATTAAACCACAAATCTTTTCTCAATTCATGGTCAATCACAACGGGAATATTCATTAAAACACAATTCAATCCAATACATTTTCAATCACAGCACAATATTCAATAAAACACATAAACGTCATAACTTATTCATGCCACACAACCAGTTCCTGAGCCTCCCATACCATCGTCAGGGTCTCGAGGTTTCGGAAGATTTCCACCACACATTCTTTGAATGTGTTCAGCAACTGTGAACTCAATCTTATCCAACGTAACCTTGCCTTCATGACCTCATTCTCCGCTCTCAGCCGCTAATCTCTGAAATATCAGTAATACTCTTTCTTCTACCTTGATATCTAGGTTTAAGGGGTTTCATTTGTTCGGCAAGATCTCCTACTCCCTTAATCCTATTCTTTTGATCAAAGCCACCAACTAGCTCAAACCAAATCTCCTGATCCGTGACTTTAAGGCCTGGCTCCTCAGCCATTTGTTTCAATTGTACAAAATCAGCCTGTACAATGAAATACATAATGAAAATAATAAATATATGGATTATATATAATCATCACATTGTCGCATTGTAAACTTAACTTTAAATAATAAGAAGTGTGCATTCACATTTACCTCAAGTTTTGTATTTTCTGGATCTAACCATGTCTTACCATCATGTTTCTTCGTCTTGGTGTGCTTGAAAGCATCCACCACTGTCAATTCTTCAAACAAAATATATTTTCACTCGTTCATTGCTTAGCACTTGTTCATTGTCAATTCATCAAACAAAATATATATTCGTTCATTATTTACCAATCAGGCAAGTTGTTCAGAAAAAGGAATCGACCCTCTAGTATAGGTCCCTATAGCTACGCCTTCATTTCTTCCCTTTCTTCTATTCTTTTTCTTCACATCAGATTCCTGCTTAAATTCTTTGGAATTCCAAAACTATACATACGTATAAGATGAGGATTGTTAGAAGAAGTTATGCATATTGATACATATAACCCGTTTGTTTTAGATACTCAATGCTATAATAATATGAATACTAAGAATATAACTTATACATATATAAAAGTTTTAATACCTTGTCCTAACGACCAATAAGCTCAGCAGGGGGGCTTCTTGTGGACCACTCTCGCATTTCGTTGGTTGTAGGTAAAGAGACTATACAATCTCCCCGCCCGACCCATAAAAGCACCCCTGACCATATCATAAGGAATGCGACGATCCCATCTGTAATATTTCTATTTTGTTGAGTCTATTTTGTTGAAAATCGATTAAATTAAATTTAATAGATTCAAATATAATTAATTTTACACTTAAATGTAATGGTGTAGATCAAATTTGAAAATGATAACACTAAATGTTGTCGCTAGAAAGTCTTTTCAAAATGCTAACACTAGCATCTAATTTTATTGACTAATATTGAGTAAATTGGTTTGAAACTAATCAAATTAACTCTCAAATCAATAAAATTTATTGTAATGGGTTGAAATCAGGATCAAATCTAGTTATTTCATACAATTCATCATATAATCCTTTCATCTCAAAAAGAATACCACACTTCACTATTTAAAATTTACGGAAATTTTATTTGTTTGTGCGTTATCATTTATATGTATAACTTCTTTAATTTCTACATATATTAAATTTAAGGCATGAAATTTTGTATTTTTTTCAAAAGATAATCCATTTTATGAGGGAATGAGCAAGTAATGTAATTAGTTCAAATGGTAAAATAAAACTAAAAATTTAAAAATATAATATGCTTATTGAAAGGAAAACATAGTTCCAAATTTATCGTTGTAGGTTTTAATCGGTTTCGGATATAATCGGTTTCAGATCTAATCGGTTTCGGGTATTATCGGTTTCGGATCTAATCAGTTTCGGGTTTAATTGGTTCGGATATTATCGGTTTCGGGTTTAATCGGTTCGGATATTTTCGGTTTCGGATCTAATCAGTTTCAGATTTAAATCGGATATGAATTATTTAGTTCGGTTTTGGTTCGATTCGGATCATTTTAGGTTTTCGGTTATAAATCGGATCTTCATTTTTCGGGTCATTTTGGTTTCGGTTTGGGATATTTCGGTTTGGGTAATCGGTTCTGGTTCTGTTTTGCCAGGTCTACCTAGAACTCTCGCTAGTAAAAATCGCGCCCAACATTTTTCCACTTTGTCCCTTCAGGATCACCTCTCAAATAAAATGAGGGTGTGATTAGGTGACACGCAGCAGTAGTGATCTTAACCCTTACATGATTTCATAAAAAAATAGAAAAAATCAATATATATGATAATGATATATTAAACTTTTTTTTTAATTTTCATCATAACTTACTTCCCATTAGGATCGACGTATACATGTTAATCCCTCACTAGAGGGTCCAACTGCTCATCCTCCTTATCGTCCTCCTCTTCTCGGTCATCCACCTCATTTTCTCTATGCTCACTCTCATTGTCTGAACATTGTAAATTTGACTCAGGTACTAATGTATGTAATCCTGCAATTATCAATATAAACATTTTTCATTATACATGAATGATTCAACATGAATAATTGGTAAGGGGTGTGTGAGGTGGTCGGAGGTGATGCTGATGCATCCATCTCATTGGCCAAGGGGTTGCTACAACCTGCTTCGGCATCATCTCAGGATCGACTCATGAAACTTTGTCGTAGAAGTCTCAAGCTATCCCTCGCCGAACTCACAAAAGAGGGCATCTTCAAGCTCTTTTGCTTCTTACCCTTGCCTTTATCAGTCATCTGCACATACAAACACATGTTAAAATAATATAATTTAATTTCATTAGAAACAATAATATTAAGAAGTGAAAATAAATATATAAAAAGAATAAAAAGAGTATACTTTATCCTGAATTGTTTTCACTATCTATTGATTCCATTGAATCTTCAGAACTTAAAATTGGCTCTTCTTCTTCCATATTTTCAGAATTCAAATCATCATCTTCTTCAAAGTCTGCATTTCCTTCACCTATTAGAGTTACAACATCATTGTCCTCTGAAACAACCATGATGCTAGTTGAGTCTGTCACACTTTGTTGGAAAGGATCCTGTAACATTGCATCTTGGATTTCCTTTGGACTCTCAGTGTCTACCCACCCTCTTGGCTGAACTTTGCAAATTGCCATACACTTACCTCGAATCCGTTTCGTGCATGGATAGTCGACATATGCACTTGTTTTGCTTGAGATGCTAAAATGTAAGGTTCGTACCTGTTAAACCGTCCTTTCTTTAACACTTCAACAAATTTGTATTTGTCATGCACTTTTGTACCAAGTTTCGGACGAGGATCAAACCATCGACATTTAAACAACAAACATTGTTTAAGGGGTAGAGCAGGATACTCAATCTGTATTATATCCTCTAAGATGCCATGGTACTCCCCATAGTCTCTTGTAATTGCCACCCCACAGTTATAAGTTGAGCGCTTAAAACCATGTTTTTCTGTGTGAAATCTATACCCCTTTACTAAGTATATCGGGTATGATTTTGCAACCGGTAAGGGACCTCTTGCTACATCCAGTAATAAATCTCCTATTGCATCTTTGTGTTTCTCAGACTGATGAGAATGAAGTTTAGGTATTAGCATTTACTTGTATTTACTCTTTAAATTGTGATAATATTAACATTAATCTGTTAAATATATTTACATGCTCTTCAAACCAATTTGTGAAATTCTCTGTCACCCATCTCGATATAGAATCTTGTGTAATGCTTGGGTTTGCCTTTGTAATCTCTTCTATATACATCCTGTTACCTGAAAACTTCCAAAAGAATGATAATATATTCTTTATGGAAAGTTTATAAGAAATTATACTATTTGAAAATTCTAATCTTACTCAAAATAAGGATCAATCTCTGGACAATTAAGTAGCATGTATAGATGTGCGGCTTTAACCTCCTCCGGACTTAGATGAATTTTGCACATCTTTCCCTATAGCGGAGGGAAAGAATTTCACACTTCAAATCTTGAGGGAAAGAATTAGGGTTTAACCTTGGGTTTGGGCCAGCGAAAAGCGGATGGCGGTTGGGCGGGTGGTGGGTCGGACGGCGTCTGGCGTGTGGCGGCGAAGGAGTGGAGGTTGGCGGTGGATGACGAGGGCTGGAGGCAAAGGACGAACGGAGATTGTGTTCTTCGGGTATAAGGTTCTGCGGTTCTGCTTCAATCGAAGTTAAACCAAATGAAACGGAGATAAGGTTTTAATTTAATTCCTGCGACGGAATTAAGTCCGTCGCAAACTCTGTTGCAAATATGGTTTTTAAAAATTTGA